TTCCTCTTCAAAGCCAATGTCCAGTATCCGATCTGCCTCATCAATCACAAGGCATTGCAAGTTCTTGTAAAGGAAGTCTGAGGTGTTCTGGAGATGGTCCAAAAGCCGACCAGGGGTGGCCACCAGCACGTTGATACCTAATGTCAAAATGGCAAAAGCTGTTAGGCATTCAGATCATGACAAAACGACAACATGCCATAAATACAGTTCCTTAAAATAGTTTCATTCTAATATAAATGTCACTGAGCCACGGTATTCAGTCAGCATATTGTCCGACTATGGACTTAATGACTGGGGTCTGATCCCTGGCACGGGTAAGGGATTTTTCTTCTAGCCTCTGTATCCAGACCAGCTCTGGGATCAACCTCGTATTCAACGGGTACCACAGTTTGGAATGAGATTATTGTTTTGATATGTGCAGAAACACAACTGGGGCTGACACTGAAATCATATAAGTGACAATAAACACTTTGAGTGTCCTTCCTTATGCTCTACAAATTTCAATACTGTGCATAGCTTACTTTTTATAACACATTTGTAAAAGTTTAACAATCATTTATAATCACCCTGTATGTCACATTTAACATAAAGGAAAATTATAAGACTTGAAGACATGTCTTGTGATCTTTCATTGGATCATGGTACCACAGCGTTTACAAATGGAGTATTCGTGTATGTTATGACAGAAGATACAAAATACCATTCTCAGCTGTGTGCATGTACCAACCTTTGGACAGCTTCTGTGCCTCTGCCTGCCTGTTTGCCCCACCCATAACAAGTCCATATGTGTGATGGTGATATTTCATCAGCTCCTTCAGGACACCAAATGTCTGCATGGAAAGCTCTCTTGTAGGAGATATCACTATGCATCCCGTCCCTGCAATGAACAAGACACAGAGCATCATAACCCCGACTATGTAGTTATCTTCTTCATTAATGGTAGAAATATGTTTATGATGCAGATACATACAATACACTTTAACCACTGAAATATTTAACGCAGTTTAAGTTCATTACACAAGCACACTGAAATTCCAGTGGTTTTTGGTTTTTTAGAGATTTTGTTTCAGAGGACATACCGTGATTTAAACATTTTAATGACATAAAAAAGAAATGCAAATTATCAATGCTGCCAACACCAACTATTAAAATTGTAAATAAACACTATCTTTGAACAAAATGCGCAAACTAAATGTGCTTGCTCTCATGTTGGGCAAACAATAAACAAACATCTTATCAATGAAGAAAAAATTATTCCAAAGCAAATTGTTGATTTTAACTGTAACTGAATAACCTAAAAACTAACCTTCCTTCCTGCAAGCATTGTATCCTTTTAACCTCTTTATGTGGGTCAATGGTGGGGGCTGGCCTATTCTTATAAAAATTTATGGTATTTGTTTACCTTACTATACATGAATACATAATTTATACCATAACTGTCACCTGTTAACAGAATGACATCCTAGCCAGCCAATGGCTTCTTCTGGATAAGACAGCACACATCTGTATGATCTAATTGGAGACTCCATCCACACTCAAAAGAAGCATTCAGTAAAGTGCACGTGTCCCCGCCTTCAACTCACCATTCCGAGGCATGAATTTCAGCTTATAGATAAGTTCAACGGCAGGAATCAGGAAAGCCAGAGTCTTGCCGGAGCCGGTTTTAGCTGATCCCACTAGGTCCCGTCCTTCCAGCAATGGAGGAATAGACCGTGCCTGGATTTCAGTAAGAGTAGTGAAACCCATATCATTCACCGCCTTCAAAGTGTTCTCGCAGACCTTGTCAGCTAGGGAAGCAAACGTAGCACTGCTCAGAATTGACAATGCAATTCCTGAACCTGGAACTGAAGAGAATTAAAACTGATAGCATAATCTGCATGTTTCTCTGCCTTTCAAGAACGCCAAATTTAACACCAGCTACAGCCCTACAATAAATGTATGTAATGGACAGTGGTTATGATGCGGCTGGTCACCAAACCAGAAACTTTTTGAAGAAGAATGAGACAGAAAGACATCACTTGTATGTATCTCACCAAAATTTAGCTACTCAAGAGACTAACTGTTTAGAAACAACAATCAAGAAAACAGGGGTCTACATGTTGTGTTTGAAGGGCAACCATGTTTGAGTCCGCCCACTTCTTATATGCATACAGATAAACAGATGGACAAAGTGAGCTGAATACAGTGATAAGAAACTCACACAACCTATATCAAAATATTCTATTCATTACAATTCAACTGGATTAATAAACACACAATATTAATGTGACTATATACAAGAGGCCACACACGTCACGTCATGTTGTAACCTGCTTGCGTCAGTCCATCAGTTTTCTTTCAACAAAGTGCAAGGATATCTTTTACATACATGCAACAAGTGCTCACTGTCAAATTCCAGAATGAATTATTCAGGGATACATTTCCCCGATTCTCCTGTGCCAAACAGAAACCATTCCGATCGAATGTGGTGGACATTTCCAACAATTAATATATCATTGTCTTGTTTTTTGTGTTTCCTAATTTCAATGTAAGTCGCCCTCGGTGGACTAGTGGTTAGCGTGCTCACCACTGGACCCAAAGTTCGCGGGTTCAATCCCGGCCGAGGTCGATGGATTTTTAAGGATAAAAAGAAATTGGTAGCACAACTTCCCTTCGGAGGGGAAGTAAAGCCGGCGGTCCCATGTCGTAGATTTACGGCATGTAAAAGAACCTTGCGAGCATGATACGAGAAGTTTCGTAAGCAAAATTCAGCAGCCATTTCTCACCCAAGTCTCTTCTGATTCACTGCTTCACTGCTAGATGGCTCTGGCAGTCAAATCAGGAGTAAGTAGAAATTGTGCAGAGTCAGTGGGCTAGTGACTCACTACTCTTAAATGCACGCTTTAAAGATGATGAAACCTCCGAAAGGAGGCCCTATGTTCCACTTAGGAGTTACAGGAACTAAACTAACTAACTAATTTCAACGTGTCAAGAATGGGTTGCATGACTTTTGGAAAATCCTGAATCATCTTAACCCAAGTGATATGATATGGAATTTCATATTTACAATTGCAGGCAATTATAAAAGATATGACTTTTCGACCACTTGTACGTGCTCTGCGGGGTTGCTACAAATTAGCCTAAGAATCAACACTATTAACAGAAATGTTATGATACAAAATGTAATACCATTATTATCATGCTAATAGCTACAGTTACATTCATTCTGACCGACCTTGGCTGTGGCGGTCTCTTGATATCCCTTATGACAGGACAATGGTGAGAATGGTAACTGGCAGTGGAATTCTACAACAGTATTTGCTCAGAACTACAAACTGGCCTGCTATTCCTTACAGTCGCCAAATTTCACCTTTCATGGAAGGAATGAAAATGAAAAGTACTCTTCTTACACCTGCAGTCTGAATGGCTGCCAACATTACAGAACATCAGAATAAGTGTATTTACATTTTGTTGTCAGGTCCTCCATGTGTGAGGCAGCTGCCGCTGCTACTACTTCTTCTTCGTTCTCTGGTGAATCATCACTGTCATCTCCGGCATCAACCTCTTCATCATTACCTTTCTTTATAGCCTTCTTTCTCCTTTTCTCTGCAAAACAACAAATACTTGATTGCACACGCCTTGGTATACAAGAGATATTTCTATATGCGAGAAAGCAGCCTCAAGAGAGCAAGACTTATGAATGCTGTATCTGAAGCATCTAGATCACCAGTAGCCTCTGTGATCACTTTCAAAACTTTCACTACCGTTCCACTTGAAATTGAAACAATAGTAATTACACACTAAAGAATAAAAGAAAGTTAAAAAACAAAATATATGATCTCTGCTCACTTTCCACAGAAGTGCTATCAAAGTCAAGATTTCGTTTCCTTGGACCATCATCCACAGTATCCTTGGTAACAAGCGTTACTTTCTCTGCTTCCTCGGTAACACCCTCATTTACTGTAACATTAAAAGTTTGCAACATGTAACATCAGAAATGATCATCAAATAAAAATAATGTTGCCTGTTTCTGTATTAACCCTTTGAAGTTGAAGCTCGTCTAAATGATATTTAAAAATAGTTCTTACCTCACAGAACACACAACACTTCATCATTACTAATATCGATCAATTGGTCAATGCTGTTTAAGCGTTGTTTATTCTATGATCATACAGAACGTATAAATACATTCTGTGGGCAAAATGCTTTAAATGGTTAACAGTGATTTAATCAGTTTTATTCAATAAACCTCTAATGTTCTGATGGTACACCGAAAGACTACTGTTATTACTGAATTCTTCCTTTCCAGTTGGCTTATTTGTGGTGATTTGGACGTCTTTTGGGTATTTATGCGGAATTTCGACACTATTCTAAAAATGACTTGATCTTGTACCATACGATAGAAATATTGACATGTATACGCGTTAAAAATATATTTACCGCACAAAACCCGGTATAACATTGAGCACTAAAATAATTTTACGTCTACTAACAAATAACGATTACAAATTACGGTTATATTTTACTTTCCAAAACTACAAGTGAGGTTACGTATACCCACATGTGAGGGGAACATCAGTTTTTCTTTTCAGAAAGTTCAGTTTCTTGTGTTCTCTCTTCTTCAACTTGCGCAGCAATATCTTCTCTGGCACCGACATAATTCTTATAGAATAAATAATTTGAAAGACGACAACATGTAAAACACTGCTATAACTCACTCACATGTGGCCACACACAAACTGCTTAAACAACCACAGATAATGTCTATCATTCTGTACTCAGCCTAATATTTCTTCGCCACAGATATACAACTGAAATAGGGAAGATGGAGGCATATTAGCGACATCTGTAAATTTCTTTGATATAAATAGGTGTTAGAAATTATTCATAATTTTTTTAAAGACGCATTCTGTGTCTCAGACTTAAAACGTCTAATAATGAATTGGGAAGAATGTAGAAGGAAATTGTGATAGCCTAATTTAAGGTACCCTCTCTTCATTTGCCTGGAAGGGCTCAGTAAAACCGGCCCGAAATTTGAACGGGGTGGGGGGGAGCCTCCCACATACGAAACGACTTTCGGTTCAAAGAATTACTTCGGAAAGATTATTTCACTTCACCATGTAGAAGAATTCAACTGAAAATTAATTCTGACGGATTTGAATGAAATTTGGTGTAGACTTTGTCATTGCATTGCACTCTAAAACAGTTCTAGCACTATAGGTGGGACACAGCCACCTTGGAGGGCCGAAGCCCAAGAAAACGACGGCGGGAATAGTGGATTCACTACTGGCAACAAACCCCAGTGTGGGAAAATTATTTCTTGGTGGGGCGAAGCCCGAAATACCTATGTTGATGTGGTGGCAGGGGGACCCACTTTTGTGTGCCATGGGGCGACAAGGGTGTTGTGGATACACCACTGGGAGGAAATCCACTTGTGACGAACTCGCTAAATGGTGCAGAGCCCCCCTGCTGGGGCTGTATCCAACGAGTGGGGCGAAACACAGGTGACATGGTGGGGCAAAGCTTCGGAGACCTTTTGTGGGCGGAGCCGAGCGAGTGGGATAGAGCTCCATAAAGAGATATAACTTTTGGGATGAATGGTTTGAATTAGGTTGGTCAGCGTTAAGTTTGTTATATAAGGTTATGGTAGGTTAGGTTGTGTCAAAGTGGGTTAAATTCAAGTAGATTGGGTAAGGTTGTGTTAAATGTATTTAGAATTCAAAATATAAAAAATGCATTTGGAAACTCTTTGTACTCCAGCAAAGATTACTTCTCTCCAGACTTGTTTGTATTGTCAGTGTTGTTCCCATTAGGTCTTTTGTTATTTCACATCCTTGTTTTTACCAGGTTGAATGCCCCCTTTCCTCTACCATCACATTCAGATCATCCAGTCCTCAGGAGGGCTGAAACTGCCGCCGAGATGCTTCTGCACCCACAGGGTTGTGTTACATCCAGGGACTGCACCCCCTGGAAACATTGCCAGGTAATGTCCCATGCCTAGTCTCAACCAGAGTTTTTATTTAAACCCTGGGGCTTTACCTCTCAGGTCCTTCCTGAGGATGCTTGCTTTGTCGGGTTCTGGCCCCCAGGATTCTTGCACCAGGGGAACTTTGACCCATGAAGCCATCTTTCTGCTGCCTTGGCCACCAGGCCTGACACTTCTGTGCTTCCACCATCCCCGTTGCAACAAAAATGCAAGAATTACCTAAAGTAATTCTTGTAAAACACAACAATAGACAATGATGTGGTGTGTAGAAAGCCTTTGGAATGTCAGTGTACACCAACCGAACTTTGTGTTTGTATTGGTGACATTGTTTGTACTAAAAACAATAAGTGCTGTTAACAAAATATATTTCTGTTCTGTTGTATCCTGACATTAACATTTTCATATAGAACACCTTTTAACACTCCAAATTTAAGGAATAAAAAATTAAAAATGATAATAGTATATTCATATACAGTAGTATTAGTTTCTGTAACTCCTCAGTGGAGCATAGGGCCTCCGTTCGGCGGTTTCATAGTTTTTGAAGTGTGCATTTAAGCGTAGTGAACGACCAGCCCACCGCCTCTGCACAATTTCTACTCAATCTTGATTTGACTGCCAGAGCCATCTAGCAGTGAATCAGGAGACTTGGGTGAGAAATGGCTGCTGAATTTTGCTTACAAAACATCTTGTTCATGATTTACTTCCCCTCCGAAGGAAGTTGTGCTATGGATTTTTAACACCCTTAAAAATCCACCGACCTCAGCCAGGTTTGAACCCACTGGCCTTAGGTCCAGTGGCAAGCACACTAACCACTAGTCCATCGAGGGCGAGCACATACAATATATGGTACTAATAATTCAACATCCTCTCCTCCAAACATACCTCCTGACACAAAACATTTATTTTGAAGTCTGCGCTGTGCAGAACTCAATATGAACAGTGGGGACAGCAAAAGAAATAACACATTACATTCTATAAAGTTTTAATTTTCTATGTTTACCTCATCCAGCACAATGCTTTATTACACTGTAAGATAACCAATTCAAGTGACTTTTATTTCTTGTGTAGCATATATATATGCTAATTTTAAACAAGAATTATACAATCTGCAGTAAAGTATTCAAATTACTCTAATAAAGACTGAACCTTCACTACAACTTTTCATATTAGCACAGCCTACTAAATAAATCTTCATTCTGAACCCGTAAAATAACATTTGTCTGAAAGTATAATGAAAGATGACTCAATCTACAACTCAAACATTAAAATTATTTGTATTAATGAGAACTTTAGCCCCAATTTTTCTTTTTATTATTAATATTATTTTTATTTTATTTTTTCAAGGGAATTGACTTAGACTAAAATGTACAGATCTTATTAACTACTATGTACATAATAACATTGAAATTGTAAGAATGTAGGTTCTCATGCAAAAAATATAGCAAAGATAATATAATACAATTTTTCTACAGGATTGTATTAAACTTAAAATGAAACTACTATTGATACATTAGTATAATTATTCAACTCGGTATTTCCTTTTCCAAAATTTTGAACCATAAATAGACCAATTTACTGCAAACACTTAAAATTACAACAAATGCACTTGATATCTTTAATGAGACTGAAGGACACTGTTCTAATGTTTTCACATAGATATTCATTTAATCACATACAAAAAATCTCATTCATTTTATAAAACCAATAAAACTTCATGATCTTATAAATTAAATTAAATAATTAAACAAAATAGTGGAGTATAGAAGTGTATTACTCCTTTAATCCAAATAACACAGGAAATAAACACACATATACAATTAATATAGTCTATATTATTTATTTCTATGACACTGTTTCTCTTACCAAACATTACCCAGATAAAAAATTGACAGAGGAAGGTCAAGATGATTTAAAATTTCATGCATAAAATTTATTCTGTTACTTTTGGAAGCCTGACATTAGGAAAACAAAACACACAAGCCCTTGCCCTGCCCACAAACCAGTTTCGCAGCATTAATAATTTGCATAGGTGATGACTTGTGAAAATAATTCATAAGAATAATAACAACTAGCTTGATCCAGGTCCATTAGGTTTTGTAATTACTAATGCAAAAAAGAGAAAAATAATGTAATCTTTTATTACCTTGTGAATGTTTGTGGCACTTTTGAGGTGATGGGAAAAGAGTTAGGTAATTAGGAAGCATGGTAAGGAACCACCCCAGCATTTGCCTCGAGGAACTGAGAAAATAACAAAATTCCTCAGTCAGTTTAGCAGAGTCACCAGCCATAATCAGCAATTGCAAGATATGTTTAACGTACCTCATGTTGCCAACATTTTAGAATAAGAGATCTGTGTATACAATGTTTTTAAATACAAATAAGTAAGTCCACAGCGGATGAGAGACTCATTTAATACACAAAGCTTTCCATAAAAAATTGCACTGCCATGCCGAAAACCTGGACTGCTCAGTTGATGTGCGAAAAATCCACACAAACAAATTATAGGATAGCCACATTCTGTGAACATAACAGAAAGTGCATTTACTCTGATTTCATTCAGTTTTGGTTCATACTTGAATCAATTTTTATATATAATTTATATTTATTGTATGGTTTAATTATTTATATTATTAAAACTATTACATTGTTACATGACTTTATTTTTTACATAATGTTATCTGTGAATCACTTTGGCTGTGGGCTGCAGTGTTCTTACACTTTTCCAGTGAAATAACAATAAAATGTGATGAAGAGAAGTGAAGATATCAAAAAATGCATGAGAAAAACAATAGTTTCTGACTTACCAATTTTTATGAAAACTGAAACACCTTCACACATTTATGTAAAAATTTAAACGTAATAATTTACAAAAATCCACTGAGCAGGAACCAAGTTATTACTTAAATACACAAACAGATGATGATGAAGTTGAAATGCAATTTTTCAAATTTTTTGTTTCAGATGCACCTGAAAAGGCATCAACACAGACAATTCTCAAATAAGATTTGAGGTTTTTATAATGGCAAATCTGAAGATGACCGTCTTCTGGGTTGTAGCTCCGTATAGTCTGGCACAAGTTTACTCTTCACTCTGATGATTAAGGCAGCAAGTACCTCTGAAATGTTGGTTAACTCCTACATGGCACTACAACTCAGAAGTCAGCCAGCCAGCCACGTACGTGATTCTCAAATAGGTTTTGTGTCGTATTCCTGGTAAAACCTGTACTTATCAAAACATTAAGTGAATGTAATATGTTTGATGGAAGATGTTGCTCTATTATTCTATGAAAAGTTAAGAAAATCTATACATAACTTTTAACAGTTATGAAGATCAATTGGTTTGTCTGATGTTATGGAAACCAAAAAGTTGAGTTCCTACTTAAGAGAAATACAACATGAGACCATCACAAAGCTCAACTGGATAATCTAATGTTGTCATGGCAACTAGAAATCAGTTCCTATCTTAAAGACATCACAATGCATCACCATTACAGACATCAACTGCTTAGTCTGACATCATGACTACCAGAACATTCAGTTCTTACCTCAAAGAAAACACGGCACATCAGTTATTAAAAATATCAATTTGTTGGGGTTACATTTTCATGTTAATCAGAAAATTAAGTTCCTACGTCAAAGAAAACAGAATGCTTCACCTTCAAGAACATTAGCTGGTTGTTCCAATAATTTATTACATACAAGTTTTGGAGACGAGTTTGAGGAAGGTATATTTTCATATTTATATTAGGAGGGTTGCATAAGAAGCACGTAGGTGCAACATGGAAGTTGGATAACAAAAAACTGCTTGATGAACCAGGGAAACCATAAAAATCTCAGTCAAGTTGGCTGGTTGCAGGACCTTTCTGGTGCACACTGACATTGACAGTTGGTCTTATGTTGTTATTGCAGCCAGAAGATTAAGTTTCTACCCCAAAGAGAAAATAACGTGTCACCATTACAAACACTAATGATGGTTATGACATCACATTAAGAAAATGCTCTCATATAAATTGATCATTACAATTCTTCATAAAAGTTAAATATTAAATTTAATGAGAATCCCTTCAGCCATTCACAAGTTATTACATGCATGTGGATGGACAGACAAACAAGTCCTTAAAGATGGTCTAAAGGGATGTAAATATGACTGAAAATACTTCGGGTCAATTCAGCGCTGTGACTGCCAAACTCACCCACCTCTCAAACCAAACTTACACTTTAGTCTACGTCAGTGTTCCGTAACCACTGTGCCGCCACAAATTTTTATAAGAAGTTGTATATTCACACATTACAGGTATAAAAAGGCAAAATCTGATCTTATGCAATTAAAATTCATAATACACACTCACATATATTTGTTCATCATCAATACTTTTATTCAACATGTGTTATGTTTTGTTTTCATTTGCCTGCATTATTTTGTATCCTTGGCAAATTAAAGTACAATGCGGGTGGATAAGGGTTACGGAGCACTGGTCCAGGTGACACAAGTAACAGATAACGATAATTTATAAAACGGCAAAATAAATATTATTTGGGACTTCAGCAGCTGAAGTGGGAAATCTAATATAGAAAATATTTTGAAAGAAGTTAAAAAACATGCTATGCTGATATAAACTGAACTATGTAATTGTCATAATGTAAGGGATCATGTAGCCTTTGACCCACACAAAGATGAAAATATGATGGGAATTATAAGAAATGTGAAAGCAGAAGTAAAAAAATTTAAGTTCACATTCCTGTTTATAAATGAATGTAATTTGTAAAAATTAAGTGACATATCATTAGAAGTGATATAAAACACATGGCAGCGTGACCAGAGAAACGACGCACTACATTCTGTCGCTGAGCGTCTAACTACTCGTCTAAAGTAGTAATGATTAAGAGATTGTTTTAGTAATTGCTACTGAATTCCTCCATCACAACATAACCACAAGAAATTTACCATATTATGATAACATCCTACAAGAATCTTACACAGTTCAGGTTTTATGGGGAAAACTTTTCAAAAGTTGAGTACAGACAATTACAGATAAGTTTACACACAGATTGAGTAAACATCATAGTTATAATACAGATCTACTGAAATCCAGTATGCTTACATTATGATTCTCCTTCAACTAATGAACAAACACTGTGGTAGGGGAACACAAAGTTTCAGCATTACTAATATCAAAGTGCACTATGGCCATGATAATACTTCTGATTCTTGCAACCTAGTTCCCTAACTATGTCTTGATTTTTACTATCCACTTTCTAGTCTTCCAAATGGACATTTTCTAAGAATCCATGAAATTTTTACTTTGTAGGCATTTTGAAATATGAGAAAGTGGTAAATCCATTAGTTCCATGAGCGCAACTAAACCTGACATCACACACACACACAGAGTAACAAAATATGAACATAACTTAAACCAATAAGGGCTGTAATTTTAATGTCTCATTAAAACTGTAAAAGTATTTCACATAAAAGTTACACTTCAACGAGGTAAACAGGCTTATTTACAATTTTTGTTCTGTTCTTCAGTCTTCAACGAACTGCAATAAGATAAAAGTTTTACAAATTGTTAACTGATAAATTTATTTATGGCCACTCATAGTTTTCCCTCCTGTACCTGAAAATGCACTCCTAAAAATCATACTACAGAAGTTTTACTTCAGCTGGTTACAGCAGATTCATAACTGTAAGTTCATTTTTGTTGTGTTCTTTGCACAAAATGCACTAGAACACATCATGGGCTGGTCATGTCTGTCCGTTCATCCATCCGTTCATCGATATGTCCAGTCGATTCAACTGGAGAACCGATGGATGGATGAAAATCACACTTTTGAACATTCTACGAGCGGTGGTAACAAAATGACGGATGAGGTAGACACTGAAGTACTGCAATTTGGTGGCCAAAATGGGAACTATCAAACAAGGCAGATTTAATACCTATAAATTCACGTTGCAAAGAATGCATAAGGATATTATGCGTATTCTGGAACGGAATACGCTTTCCAAGCTTTTTGCTATTTGTGATCATTCTAAGAGAAGGAGAGGGGAAAGATTTGAACAAAATTTTAATACAAAGGCTCCCAATCAACATTGTTGATTTCTCTTTCACAAACACACATGCATGGACACACTGGTTTCTTGTCACCAAACTTGCTATTAAATTTGGCCTTAGAAACATTCTCGCATTTTTTTTTTATTTCAAGCTTCTTTCACTCTGATAACATGTTTCTGTTAAGCATTCATTTACAACTACAGACTTGGATCAAAATTCTGAGAATTTATGAAAAGTTTAAAGAATTTGTACATTTAGCTATAAATTCTTTACAATTCTGGTAGAAAAAAACTGTGGAGGCAATGTACTTCATGTGTCACATCCAAATGTCTCAGTTACTAGAAAATATTAATTTTAATTACATAATTAAATTGAATCATTACTGCAACAAAAGTAATCAATAATCTTCAAATCTTGTAATTTGCCTTGTACTAGCAGATATTCGCTGTTCTATTGTCGGCCAACTATAGAATTAGAATAGCATAATAGGTCCGGATATGGAAAACTCAGTTTTATATAATTTCACGATTAAGATAATTTCCCCGCAACAAATATTCTTTGCGTCAAGCTGGATCTTTAGCCATCTTGTGTTGTAATTCAACAATTAATAGAGAGAAAGAAAGTCTATAAAGGGGGATGTTTGTTCTTAAATTCTTGAAATGTGGGCCTATTAGTAATATTTAACCATTTTTAGAGCTCATTCACAAAACAAAATTTATGCTTTGAGAACTGAACTGGGGAAGAAGGTAAATTGGGTTTCTTTCCTTTACTTCGAAAGTCAAAACCAAATCCATATGGCGTACAGATGAATAAAATCATATCTACTGAAACATACAATGGATTAAGATCAATTGCTGTCCGGAGTAACTAACAAAAATGTAAGCGCCAAGGACAGTGAATGTTCTGAGAAATTATGTTTCAGCGAAATTTATAGAAAAAGTTAATTAAAATCACATAAATTCATATTTTACTTTTAACACAAGGACACTGAACAATGTTTTGGATTGAATTCTACTTGAACATGGGTCATATTTAAAGGGTGGTTTATGTATTAAAATCACCTGAAATGTCTGGAATGTCTTGACATTTTTATAAAAAAATTTAGAAACAATGGGAAGAGTTTGTAAAGGAGGAACCAATATTTATATCAGCAGCAGAGTTAATACATGAGTCTGTGCAATGTAATATTTTTATAAAACACCATCTGCAAAATTATATACTAGATATGCTATTTCACTGAAACCAAAAGAGTCGATTTACTCAGTACATGTATCGACGTTTATCTGCCACACACAATGGCGTGTGAGCAGTCCACATGTCTGCACAGCAGTAGCGTGTCCCTAAACTGTTAAATCCCAATTCAATACCAAATCCAAACAATGTTCTTGGATAAAATTGTATTCTAATTAAAACAGATGTAGGATAATTCCTCACATACAGCAAATGTTTGTAATTTTCAAATTTCATAAGATAATTTTAAAATCAAATATGATACACTGAAGATGATCTCATATGGACTGAAACCATGTCAATATCAATAATTTAAATCTGATGTGTAATAAAAGTTTGTAGCTATATTGAATTAATGCTTTGCTATAAATTGTGCGGTACAAACGGACACAAGATCCCAAGAGGCAGCCCACGTAGTAAATGGTTTTAAATCCCCTATTCTCATTACCAGAAAGGTTAAATTTATAAAAATAGAAATGAACATGTGACTGTAGCAAGCACGAACAGTAAATTGGTAATCTCGATGCTGACTTCTGAAGATCACAAATTTGTGGTAAATGGAGGCAGAATTTTAGAAAGATTCGTTTCGCCAGCTCCCTCTTACTGAATGAGGTTAAATACTGTGACCTCGTGTACAATTCTGTCTACAATTTGAAGATAACTTGCGTGATGACTTAAACAAACTATGACATGCAGGGACTTGTATTACACTTTATAACTGCTATCATAATAATGTTGGTACCATAACAGATACATGAATACTTCCACACCCTTTAATATACATATTATTCTCTTAATAACTTACACGGAAGCTGCGTAAATCCATTTCAACAACGAAACTAAAATCTTGTGCTTATGAATACATTGAATCAACTGTATTTACCAAACTTGTATCATGATCTTCGTACTAACTTTCCCCAATGTGAGTATCTCTCGAGTAATAAAGATGACGTCAGATCTGTTGAGGACTCAAGATGCTTTCTTCTGTGTCATGTGATGCTATTTCCACTCAAACATTCCGTCTTGGTCACACATCACACACATATTTAACACTGGACTGGCACTAGATCTGAATGTTTTGTAGATGTTAAGTGACACGTACGATATCAGTCTCAGGTGGTACCGAACTCCGTGTTTTATTGTTTTGCAGTACTGTGACAAACACCACTAACACCGGTGCCACCGGAAATACATGTTCATGTATTTTCATTTAACTTGTCAATTAAATTACGCTCAAAGAAACAATAAGGACAGAAAACAGAAACACCCGCTTACTCTGCGCAGTACACCGTGCTCTGTTTGCATTTTAGTTCTGAGTTTGTACCAAGCGTGTTGTTAAGTACTGACGCTGTGGTACTACGTGGCGCCTGGGACAGCCAAGATTTTGCTACAAGGAAGTTTAAAGTCTCACGAGTAAGTGTCAATGCTGGCCTCATCGTCCAACACCGTATTGGCTACGGTAGGTTTAGCGCCTGTCAAAAGAGAAAAAGAAACAGTTTACTGAATTTGTTCTATTACAACTACTAATATTGCAGAATGCCAAAAAAAAAAAAAAAAAAAAAACTGACTGACTGACCAAACAACTAAAGAAATTTGAAATTTTACTATGTTTAAAAAATCTAGTCATGCTCTTGAAGAAACAGAGATGAGAAAATTAATTTTTACAGAGGTAAATAAGGATCCCAAATGCTTATTACAGATTCACAATAAAACAAAACTGATATTTAAGGAAACTTCTTCTGGCTCAGCAGCAAACTCAGTTGCTTCAAAGAAAAATCTCCAGAGTTTTACTTTAGAAGCAAAAGTCTGTGATATTCAGGATTTAAAAGACTTAGACCTCACACATCTCAAAGTAATTTTTACCACATGTAGTCACTTGCATATTTCCAAACCAATCTTCATTAAAATAGAAATGTAATCATCACGTCAAAGATAACTGTCTTCTTGTACAAATTTACCAATGTCTCTGCCGTCTCCATTGTAAGGGTGAGCAACCAGTCAGTGAAGGCAGAACCTTGGTTGGACCAGAGGGAGGTAGCGTCTCGAACAGGTGAGGGCCTGGGAGCCAAGAGGATAGGGGTGCGTGCCACAGCCACAGAAAGTGGCCCTTATAAGGGCTCCGGCGGCTGGATCACCGGACATAAGGGAGGCTGGTGGACGTCATGCGGATAAGGAAGGAAGAAAATATATGGGGGGAAATGGACGGAATATCATGAGAGACAGGAGGCCACGTTATTAGGGCTTAGTTGATTCCTACTCCAACCTTCAGTTCATTCGGCCTGGAGGACTCGAGGTACCGGTGGTTCCTACAGAGGCCTACAAGAAGTTGACTCGCCGTCTTCTACCAACAGACTCTTCTTCCCAACGGAGGGCATTCGGGGGAGTAAAGGTGGCGGCGGATTCCTCCCGCGCACTCAACATGTGATCAAGATAAACCTGAGTGTCTGAGAAGAAGACGCCCTGTTTCCGTTTCCTGACGGCCATGGGCCTGTTCCTGCGTTACTATGACAACAGATACAAGTCCTTGACCTGTGGGCCTGACTCCCAATCCACGGTTTCTTTCTGATCCAATGCGAACATGACTCTGTGTCTGCACTCATTTCGAATCAATTTCCTTTCCTAATCAAGGAACACCTGTCGAACAGATGCACTGGAATGCGGACTGGGCCGAAATCCAGGCTTGCTTGAAAGACAGTCTCCCCCGTGTAATTCTGCAGTAAAAGGCGATGCGGCAATCGACAAACAAGAGGCTCCGTCGTGATCTGCTTCCAAGCGTCGACCCGCGGCCTCTTTACCCGCTAATATTCCGAGTAAAATACGCCGAAGAACTGGTTCAAAGGAAGTGCCAATTCAGGAGGGACCCCGCTCTGGGAGCCCAGGCCAACCATCTCCAGAGTACGCCTGCGCAAAACGCCATCCCTTAGGTTAGGTTAGGTTAGGATTGGTTAGTTTAGGTTAGGTTAGGTTAGGATTGGTTAGTTTAGGTTAGGTTAGGTTAGGATTGGTTAGTTTAGGTTAGGTTAGGTTAGGATTGGTTAGTTTAGGTTAGGTTAGGTTAGGATTGGTTAGTTTAGGTTAGGTTAGGCTAGGCTACGTTAGGTTAGGTTAGGTTGATTGTTTGATTGCTCGGCCATGCCCGTGCACACCCAAGCCATCAATATGTATGGACGAATGGAGTTGTTTCATTTCAGCAGACCCTTCTAAAACATGTCTGACCTCATATGGAACCTACAAATGTTATTCTGCCTTATACAATACAATCTTCAAAATCAGCACAATATTACAGGAACACTGACAGGGTATGACATGTTAGGGGTCTCATTTCCGGCAGGGGAGTTGAGAGACTTCACACACACCCCACTTCCATGAATAAAAAGTCTCTCAAAAATTGTTTTCACGCGATTAATGTAACCAGAGGGCATGGAAGTAGAGAAAAGAATTTGTTTTCAGTATCTTTACAACACTTGTACAAATGCACTTACCTCCCATGTCACAACTGCCGGAAAATTTTGTCTCAATGACGAAACCCGTGGCACACGCGTCCTTCAGCATGTGGCACCAGGAGTGGTAGGTGCGATTATTCGAGCCGCAGATGGGGCCGCCCATGTCTCGTCGCAACCCCGACGGACTACGGGGCCGTGGACATCGATAGCTGCAGGTGACACAGCGCGGAGTACCAGTGGTCATCTCGGTGAGGCACGACTGCCTGTCCCGGCACCGGACGCTGGCACAGGACGCCATTTCTGAGAAGACAGCATCGCATCGCATCGCCATCACACATGAACACACACTTACATCGCTTAGTTAAGATTGTGTGAACTGACCTCACGCCGCCTCCACACGGCAGTAACTTCGAACGACGAAGCTAGATGGCATCAGTGCTGGTTTGTCCTTCTAATAACTACAAAGTTTAGCATAAAGCATTGATAAGTAAGTCACATGATGCATTATAATATAGGAATAGCTTGTAGCTGCTTGCAACTTGGCGTAAGGAAGAATGGAAACCTAGCAATAGACTCGTATTGCTGCTCGGCGTGCAGCAAATCAGAGCGTTTCCCGGCCAATAATGCCTACGCGTAACCTAACCTAACTTTCTGAAGAGCTTGAACAAATTTCTCTAAAGCAGAAGATCGGAAAATTCGTCTTCAGGAGATGACACACTGCAGGCTACAGACCGAGCGTTCGGCTTGTAATCTGTAGTCTTCTGGCTTATAAAAGCCACACCTACAAAATGACACGATGTCGTGATTACAAGACTACAGTTCACATTTTCACCGCCGTGAGCGCTTCAAACGCCATTTATTTGTAGAGTTTACTTTCCTTGTAAGAGACAGCACTTCTCAAATTTCCCACCGATTAAATTAATGTCCTTAGTTTCCTCAGTTTCGTAACCAATGACAACACCAAAAATCTGCAAGAAATGAAGGGCCACGACCATCAGACGCACAGACGGGCGTACAAAGGGGCATGAGGAGAAAATTAATACTTTAATAATTTAGCCGATGAAGTATGAAAACGTAATTATTTTGCATGGGTCAAACAAAGAAATGCTTGTTTGAACCCTGCAGGGTTCGTGAAGATAAAATCAGAAGAAAACGATCTCCTTGAACTGAAATTTTATCAAATTTCAACGACGTATTGATAGCTCAGTCCCAAATAAGCAATCCATTGACCACAGGGCCTAAAAGGTAACTTCACGGAGTCTAGAAGTTGTCAGTCTCTCTTACAGCGCATTATGTGTTGCCCCATCTGGGAGCTAAGCCAAGATGTTGGGAATCTGTTGTTTCTGTTTTGGGATGGGGAGAGAGAGGCTGGACTGTCCATCCCCCAGATGATTCACGAGTGAATATAGAGCAGCAATGGAATGGTAGTGACAGGAGAAAACGTAAGGGTTAGGAGAGAAACCTGTCCCAGCGCCCAGTGCCATGTTCACCACACAAATCCCACGGACATCCCTGGGCGTGAACCCAGGTCTCCGCACTGATAAGCCGGCGACGAACCAGATGAGCTGCAGCAAGGACAGAGCTTGAAATGACTAATTTCTCTTTTTCCAAGGACGGGCTAACACTTGTCACATCAGTCAGATGAAGGCGGAGCCTTGACATGGGAGACCGAGGACCAGACTGATTAGTGGCGGCTCCACGGAGCAGAGCCTTGGTGAACAGGCGACATTTATTCAGCTCACTTCTATGAAATCCGTCGTGTTTACAAGAACGCATCATTAGAAACATCCTGTGCCAGTCCAATCCACGTTCCTCCGACCGAAGCTGCTAGATCCATCGAAGTGATTACTTCCTCCGAGATTCTTCAACGATTATTTTGCAATCACGCCTTCCAGCCTCCACGTGCGCCGCCTTCCGCATCGAATCTTCTTCGACTTAGCATCGTTTCGTGAACAGCAGAAATTACAATCATCTTCGCTCTAAGCTCCTCCTTCGTTATGCACAGAACACACAGAGGAAGCCGCAGGCGAGGAAGAGAATTGCAAGGGTTAGCCTCTGAACTAGATGAATGTGTCTGTTCAGCTCGGGGTTCAGCCACCTTTACGTCCGAGGAAAACAAAAGCTGAGTCCAGTCTTCTTCAAAGAATGACACAAAACGTTCGCGGCGAACCGATTTAACAAAACCCTCTCCGGGTGTCAACTGGTTAAACCTCGCCAAGTGTTTGATCGGACAAAGTTCTGTCTTTGTACACATACGAGCTTGGCAAAGCAGGATTTGTTCTCACAAAAATATTCTGATAAAACGTTCCTGACCTGACAGGACATGCTGATACCTGATGGGCTGTACCAAGCGAGACGTCTTTACAAGACAGTCAATTTGTAATTAGAGATCAGAATTATAACCTTGAAGTTGCTGGACTTCATTACACAAAGAAGTAATACCAGCCGAGACACGACATAATTTGTGCATTCGTTGCGTGCAGGCATTGGACGAGGGCGGACCTCAACGAGACTCCAGCGCCAGGAACACATGTACGTGTAATCTGTTGTTGCATGTTTAAGATAATGCATTCTGCTGCTGCCTTGCGCATGCACTGGTAGTTACTGAGCCGGTGAACTCATCGGTAACACGCCATCTCTGTTCGGCACGTAGCCTAATGAGCGCAAATGTTGACCAAGGGAAGGATACTCCGACTCGTACAAGCGAATAAGCAAAGGCTCGAAGCTTAGCGCGTAATAACACCTTCTGTACAAATCACCAAATTGATAGAAATTTTAACGAAACTTGGCACGGGAAGACTGCCTCTTAGAACCTCGAAACAAACCGTGTAGTTCTCATAACATTAATTAATGTAAAAATCTGTCCAATTTCTTTTGTAATCGCATGTAAATAAAATGTATAATGAAGATTTCCGTCTTCTGGGTTGTTGCGCCGTGTAGTCTGGTCGATGTTAACCGACGTTTCAGAGGTCATACTGCCTCCGTCATC